GGAAAGGGGCTCAGCCTGGAGCAAAGGGGGATCAGGGGGGACCTTGTGGCTCTGCACAACTCCCTGACAGGAGGGGACAGCCGGGGGGGTCGGGCTCTGCTCCAGGGAACAGGGACAGGAGGAGAGGGAACGGCCCCAAGCTGCCCAACGGAGCTTTAGGTTGTACAGCATGAAGAATTCCTTCAAAAAAAAGGTGATTAAGCATTGGAAGAGGCTGCCCAGGGACGTTCTGCAGTCCCCAGTCTTGGAGGTGTTTAAGGAAACACTGGAGGTGGCACAGGGATCCCCTTCCCTCCTCCCCAGGGAATCCATCCTGGAAGGAGAGGAGAAAGGAGCACAGAAAACCCTCTGGGGTTTGTACCACGCAGGGGGGACAGCAGGAGAAGGGACCAGGCACCGTGGAGTGTCCCAGGCTGCCCCTGGGACAGAGCATGGGGGGCTGATGGAGCCTGGCAGGGACATTCAGCCTCAAACGGCATCCCCTGGCAGGGCAGGAACAGAGCAGAGCTGCTCCCACAGCCTCAGGGGGGTTTGCAGGGATGAGAGGTCAGAGATTTACAGGAATTTTCATGTTCCCCTGCAGCTCCCCTGACAGGGCCACCAGGAGTAGGATCTCGGGCTGCAGGGAGATGTTTTATGCATGAAGGTGAGAGCAGAGAGCTCAGGGGAGGGGAGCAGCAGCGCAGCTGGAGGCAGCAGGACGGGCCAGGGCTCCCTGGCAGCCTCTGCACCACAGGGGACATGGCAGTGAAGAGAAGCTGGCAGTGCCCACCAGGACATCCCTGGTGACAGTCTCTCCCAGACAGGCAGGTGACACTCTGGGGAGTCCTTTGTACATTTACTGAGGTGTTTCCTTCCCAAAAAAAACCCCTGTGCTCATGCCCAGGGCAGGGCTGGAAAGGAGCCCAGCAGAGACCCTCCCTGACCTCAGGGCCCTTCAGGGCACAGCTCTGGTGGCCTCTGAGCCCCCTGCACTGGCCCAGTGACCAGCTCCTTATGGACATGGTCACCTTGTGATCTGCACCTTTTGGAGACCCTTTGGGTGATCACAGGTGGRGGAGGACAGTGACACCCACAAAAAASTTTTAAGSGASTYTTAGARGGATTTTTCACAAGGCCAYGTGGYGACAGGACAAGAAGGAATGGCTTCAGCTCCATTCCCCTCCACGTCCTTCCTGAATGGAGGGCCAGAAYTGGAYACAGGATTTGAGGKGKCCCCAGCACAGGGGGACATTCTCAAAGGACAGGCTCTGGATGGGAATTCTGCAAGGGAGAAATTCTTCCTGCCAGACACACCAACTGTCCTGAGAGCAGTGACTGCAGAGATCCCCGACAAAGCCACAGCAGAACTCATCCTGTGAGGTTTTTTTGGGAAATCCCATTATCTGATGGGTACGCTGAACCTCACCCAGCCACCATAAATCAAAAAATTCCTCCTCCTCAATCCCCTCTGTGGGATCACACAGTGCAGGCTGCATCTCCATCTCCTTTCTCAAGCCATTCCAGGGATGTGCCGGGTGGGTTTAGCTCCAGATTTGGAATTGGCTCAGAATCTTGGCTTGGAAAAGCCCAAGATTTGGCTTTGCCCCATCTCTAAAGTGTTTGAGGACCGTGGGGTGGAAGGTTTAGGGCTGGCACCACAGTGYGCAAGCACACCTGCCAGCAGCCAAGCTCAAAGAAATAATTTCTCTGAACCTGGGAATCAGTGCCAAAATCTTTAGCAGGGAAACARTCACCAACTGTGACTGGCCAGAAATGTCATCAGAGGCAGTGAGTGCCAGAGAAGGGGGCAGATTGATCCCATGAGGCTGCTGAAGCCCTAACAACACTCTGTTTAATTAGCTGTCAAGCCCCCTGAGAGGGAAGTASATTGTTCCAGCTGGTCAAAAAAGAAAACACACATCTCAGGGGCCACAATTACCTTTAAAATAACCCATAAAACCCAAACAACTCGCAGCACATCATGTTCTTCCCTAGGATCCAGCCTGGCAGCTGCCACCCTTCTGAAACCCTGCCAGTCCCACAACTTCACCATTTCCCCACTCCTCAACAGCCCAAAAGGCTGTGTAAAAGCATCTTCAAAACTGCCCCCAGGAGGAGCCCAGATGTCAGAAATTGATAGCAATTAATCCTCAGGATGCCCCTGGCAGCCTGCCCAACCCTGCCCCTCCTTCACCTTCCCTGTGAATGGAAGGAACCGGCTCCATCGACCCAGGGGTGGGCAGATCCCAGTTGGATACTGGGAGAGTTAACTGGGAGCCATCCTTGCCCTCGAGCTGTTGCTCCTGCCGGCAGTGATGGCCCTGCCAGAGCTGAGTTGGCTCTGGGATAACAGTTATGGTATAATGGGTATGGTATAATGGATATGGGATAAAAGGTATGGGATAAAGGGCATGTGATAACGGGCACGGGATAATGGGCATGGGATAACAGGTATGGGATAACGGGTATGGGATAATGGGTATGGGATAACGGGCACGGGATAACG